TTTTATTGGCGATCATACCTTCCTGGAATCAACAAGAATCAGCATTGTAGTTGGCTTGAATCGTCAATACTTATCTGAGCTACATTTCCCAATAGAATCACGATGTAATTCCCATTCTTTAAAACAAATCTTCAATGGCAAAATGCCTGTTAAAATTACATTTAAACCAATGGGAATTTTAACATGAGAAACGCCCATAGAAGAATCATGATTCCTTCTGGAATTCCACAGCTCTATGACAGCGTGTCGTAGTTTCAACAATACTCTATATGTTCTCCTCCAACGAATAACACTCTTTATCAGCCTAAACACAATACATGCAGCCCAGAAAAAAAAGTGTCATACGGCTGCTTGGCATCCGTAAAAACACCCACAATGCCAGGCTAAGCTTAAACATAGATCTGCAGTATATTACAGACAACATACATATTATTAGCTCTTTCGGTAAAGTCACGTTGAAGGGAAACAATAAAATATATATAAAACAATAAAAATTATCACGACGTTTCGACCATAACACAAACGGTCATCATCAGGTGTGAAAAAACCAACGGCAAGAAACATTTGAAAGAAGTGGCGGTTTGCATAAATTTATTTATTTTTAAACGGTTTATTTATTTATAAAAAACGTCAGCGCCACGCGCAGCGATTTGGCAGTTTATTTAGAAGGACGAGTCCATCTATGTTCTGAAAAGAGGAGGGGGGAGACAAAAAATTTATGTATGCTGTCTGAAAGCCACCGTAAGCGTGAACAATCAATTAAGACCTGAAATGGTTTATCAAATCCTTCCAATGATTGCTAAGCCAGAATCCATCTTCTCGGTTGAAATTGTCTCTGTGCTTGTATATGTGGATAGCCTCATGAACGAATATACATGTATATACATGAATATACATGTTTGCCATGCTTTAAGGTTTTGCATTTGTTTTTTATATTGAAATACCATAGTTCATTTTGGGGGAATAGCTCTCCGTTGTATTTTCGTGTTGTTTGGCACGATTGTCCGACGTTCCGCTGCACAGACATCATGCCGGCAAACACCTGAAATCACATCAGAGAGCTATCCAGCATAACCAACCAAAACCTTCTCATGTTCATTTGCCTCAGCTGCTGGAATCAGCAAGAATCAAAAATGTAGCAGGGTTGGTTATGTAAGGTTAACATATGTAGTGATATAAAATGGGTCACTACGGTGCGCAGGGCTGGTTACTGACAGAGAGAGGGAATGTGGGCGTAACGGCCAACCTGCCGAAAGAGCAGGGTGTGGCAGCCGTTCTGCCAGCAGAGTATGCAATGCCACGGAGTAGGTCACTAGGGTGCGTGGCGCTGGCTGCTGGCAGAAGGGAGCATATGAGGATGTGGCACCCCGGCCGACTGGTGGAACACGTGATAGGCCGGAGTAAAGGATATGGGGCAAAAGTTGACCGAGGGGACACGTGAGGTATAGCCCAGAACCTTCTCGTGGGTTCCAGAAGGGGGCGTAGCCAAGGACGGAGTCAGACAGGGGACACATGGATGGTGGCACAGAACCTTCTGGTAGGTTCCATAAGGGGGTGTGACCGAGGGCGGAGCACGCAGGGGGGTATAAAAGGGAAGCCCTGAGGCTGGATAAGGTCTATCTGTCGGTGGAATGAAACCCAACGTGCTACGTCTTCGTCTCCGGCGTCGTGGGTCAGACAACGTGCCTGCTGCTCTGATCCGTTTATAGTTATCCCGTGTGTGAACAGTGTTAAGAGTGTAGAATAAACGTGTGTTGCCTCCTACTTTTAGTGTCTCAGAATATTTTCTTACAATTGCTTGTTGTGTTAAGTTTGTTGTCCTTTCCCCGCACCTCCGATTAACACGATTGGCTACGTAGGGTGCAAAAAAATCTCCACATACATACCTAAAAATGTACTTGAATATGAATTGAGTAATTATATTAAAACAAATCTGAGCACTGTGGTAGATAGGCTCGCAATCAGAAAGTCGTGAGTGGGGGTTGTCTCAGCTCATCATCCCTCTGAAGTCATTAAAATGAGCACCACTTTTGTGAGACCCTCAATAACAACTGTCTCATGAAAAGACTGGAATAGCCATAGAGGCGTGCAATTATAACTCATTGCCATGACACGCAAAAACAAAGCAGAAGCCTCGAGACTCAGTGTCCATATATTAAAGTACTGTACCCATCTATCACCTCCTGTGTTCAATTCTGAACTACGGATGATTGATTCCAGAATTTATTGCTCTTTTGGATAATACACGAAACAAGTTTGGTGGTCTCGGCCAGGTCGTCCTTGAAAACAACCCCCCGCAGAGTGCAAGACATTTGGCAAAGTGTAGCACTGACATGCATTCCAGTGTGCTCATCTTCAAGAAATGGGAATGGGTGTGGCGAGGGGATTGGTATATTCACTGGACGTCATGCTCAGAAATATGTTGGTAGATTGCGTTGACTTGGGAGTCAACATGGTCCCTCTGCAACATGATGTACTTGGTTGAGTACGATATATCGGCTTGCGTGCACACACAGCCACAGAGAGGAGTGGTAGTGTAGCGGTTAGCATGCTGCACTACTAACCCGGCGACCTGAGTTCGATTCCCGCTCAATGGCCAACACGGGTGACGATTATCTGATTTGGTCCTGGGCCTCCCCTTGGTCGATTCACCCACCCCTCGTGTTCCGTTCTGGCTTCCATAGGTGCTTGCTAACAGGACTTACCCCAACATTCTGTGAAGGCTATACGGGGGATATGTGTATTTGTGCACAGCCTCAGTGGCATGTGGTGTCCCAACCTGTTCTGGGCTTCTACTGGTTTGACTTGAGTGTAGTGCGTGAGCCACAGGACCGGGGAGACTAAGCCAGCCAGATGTGGTGTTGGCCTCGTCACCACTGCATGCCTTAATAGGCGCTCACTAATAGCACTTCTTTCTGCAGCATATAACGATACATTTCTAATCTGGGGATCATTTGTACGAAATGGCAAACGTAACAATCTGGTATACCATAACACCCGGTTCTGCCAGCTACGAGCTTCTGTCACTCCATATGGTCTCAATGTGTACCTAGCCTGGCACAGGCACGACAGTAATAGCACCACCACGTTGTGATGGCAGTTGTTGCATGCGAGCATATTTGTGTTGATGTGATGGTGCAGCGGTTCGTGCAGCGCTTTATAAACCCAACTAATATCAGCGGCAAATCATATCTGAACTTATCCTGGATCTCTTCTAGGTAAACTCAGCCTAAAATTATTATCTGGTGCAGTGTGTAAATGTGAGCACTGGGAAGTCAAAGGTAGAGGGGCCTAATGGTTAGCAACGTCCACTTACTGGTGCCCTGTGCTGGCCGTATAAAGTATTCATTAACAGCATTTTCCCAAACAGTTTATAAGCAGACTGTTCAGGGTGATTTTTTTAATATTTGTAGTTGTCAGGGCAAGATGATATGATTCTACTCATCCAGGCCCAAATCCTGGGCATGCACAATAGCAGTGGTATTTGGAATCTGGATATGGCTTCGGTCATTCCTAGATCAACTTAGCCTAAAATACATGCTTGATGCAATGCGATCAACAGCAGAAATGAGGAGACAAAAAGCAAGCCAGGTCTGCTGCCTGATGCATTACTACCCATGAGCCTGCCGAGTGCTGCTAAACACTACTCGCAAACAATATTTTCACAAGCAGTCTGCAGATGGCTAAAGAATAATCTTTTTTTTTAATGTTTTTCCTTTAACAATCTTTGCTGGGATTAAAGGCTTCAGCTAGGATACGATTTCTGAGTATTTGGCTGCTATACATTTATACGTGATAAGCTATCATTTGTGGCCAAGTAGCTTCAACAAAAGAGCTGTACAGGCTCAGTGGGCCTTACCTGTTAAAAAAAACTGTTTTAGTTTAGTTTTTTAAGAGTACAATATAGCCACATTTACGAAAATAGTGGTTGGCACGATTACAAAATTTACATTAAAGTAAGTTTTATAATTTACATATAGATTACATTACACGTGGGCATTAGTCCACTCATGTACAATATGACCTCCATCTGGCATGCATCACATTTCCATGACATTTTGTGTACAATGCTGAAGACCAGCCGTATTTATTTTCGTATTGTCCTACAGCATTCTTTAAAATATAAGTCTGCAATTTGTAACACGTGTAATCAACCTTCATGAAAGAGTAATACTATGGTTGCTAATATTTTAACATGCCTAAGCTTCTTAAAAGTTATAAATGTGATACATTGCAAGAGACCTCATGAAACTACAAAACAAATAAGGATCAATATCAACACTAAATTTCGATTTAAAGCTTTCGTGACTGCAGGGATTCATCTTCTTGGTTCTTTCGGTAAAGTCACGTAGAAGGGAAATAATAAAATAATCAAAATAAAACTATATATTTTTTCACTTCTACGTGACTTTGCCGAAAGAACCAAGAAAATATCAACACTATTATAGTATGTTGGCAAACTGCCGAGCATGATGATGCAAATGTGAACTCTTTGGCAGAAGTCATCGTGTATAAATGTGTAATCAATGGCGGAACCAGGATCTCCAGCAATGAAAAACGATAGGAGTTGTTAGTAAGTAAGGACTTGTCCTTGTTTTTTATTCGATGCGTGTGCGGCGATGGTGCAGCCATCGATCGAGGGTCGAATTCGAACCGTGTGTGATCGGCATCGCGCTCGCTGAAGGTATGCCTTCAGGGAAGTTGTGTAATGTAGACGCAACTGCACAGAATTCTGTGAGTCACTTATAACTGCTTTGCCGTTACTTATTGCCAATTATGGACTCAGACTATTGCCCTATCATCTCATAGAGACCCTGGCACGTAATAATATGCTACACAGTCGCAGTGGGGGTCGCAAAACACCGATTTATTACTAATAAACCCCAATGATCCGATCGAAAGTAGGGATTTCGATCAGATCACGTGCCACCCCACCCAACCCCCCCCAAACCCCCACTGGCTCCGCCAGTGTGTGTAATGACAGCGTGACACCTGCCGGTCTGTAAGGGTAATTACAGTTATAGTGCCATTACATAATGCCTTTTCTTAAAGGGGCATATCTGATGAAAGGGTCAAGGGCGGTGTCAGTCGAGACGCTCTGGGAACCATCCCGAATGGTCTAGCAGGTTCTAGAAAGGGGGCGTGGCCAGAGGTGAAGCTCGGCTACGCCGAGCGAGATATAAGGAGCACCGAACCCTTGGTTCGGGGCTAATAGCGTGGGGTCTGTGTCCTGAGTGCGTCGCTGCTCACCATCATCTTCGTCTTCGACCACGTGGCTGTTCTTCTAGGGACCCGCTCCATCTTCGCCGCTACACTCGTCAACCAGCCAGCGTAGCGCAGAACAGAGAGGGGCCGCGTGTTAGAGCAGCCTGGGTGTAGCTGCGTTACTAGGTGTATCGCTTTGTGTGCTCTTAATAAACAAGAAGCCTTCTTGTTTAAGCCTTCTTGTTTATGAGCTGAGTAAACTGAGCAATACATTGGAAGGGCATTATTAACCAGGTAAAGTCTTAACTGACTGTGATGTTTCCATCCAACCTGCATACATCACCTGTTATTTCCGACTCTCTGTCTATCTTTATGCCTCTCTCTTAGATCTATCATGCTTACATGTCCATTGCATTGCACTCTCATGCCTTTGGATTGCACTCTCATGCTCACATGTCTTTTGGATTGCACTCTCATGCTCACATGCCCTTCGAATTACACCAATTGGGTTGCACTCCCTCGTCGAGGAGGCCGCTCTTTTTTTCTACAGTTACATGCTAATTTCTCACATTAACGTCATGCGAATCCCTGACATTAACATAGCCGCTTCCATGCCCTCGTCTAGGAGGGCGCTCTCCTAGCTTACTTTTACATGCTAATTTCTCACATTAACACCATGCTAATCCCTCACATTAACATAGCCACTTCCATGCCCTCGTTTAGGAGGCCGCTCTTCTATCTTACAGTTACATGCTAATTTCTCACATTAACATCACTAGCCTCGGCCACTTCTTTATAACCCTTGAACTACACCCATTTCAAACCTTTTATAACAGTCTGCCTCTGCAGCAGACCATGGCTTTCCCACCTGATGATGGACGCTTGTGTTGCGCCCGAAATGTTGTGATTCATTTAATTTTATAGCTACGTGACTTTACCGAAAGAACCAAAGAGTAAAGAAGCCTTCTACTTAGACGTGTGTCGGGAGTCACTCACTCCACATGTAACCCTTTGTGGTACAAAACCACACTGAGCGTTGTAGCGGAGTGTCATCACAAAAAGTAAGCCAATACCTTTCCATATTTACATAAATAAAAACTTTACGTGGTTTACTCTTTCTGCTTGTTTGTGCTATAAATATATAGGTTTTTTTTTTCCCCAATAGCATTTATTTAAACACGCCGACTCTGGTTTGCTTTATTCTGGTTTCTTTGGCTCATTATGAAAATGATGATGAGCCTCAGATGTGCAAATCCAATCAAAAGATAGTAAGCTCAAAAATTGGAAAAATAGACCGCAGTTACTTGCTTAAACACATGCTACTGGTTAACATAAGTCTGGGATGTCACTTTGTGAACTGATTGCACTGTTGTCGTAACTTTGTGTTGTAGTTAAAACCTTTTGTTTTTATGCCCATTATTTATTTGTTTATTCATTTTTATTTCCTCATGCGTTTCATTATTTGAATAATTGTTATAAATACGATTTACCCCTCATGTATACAGGAATCATTGTGCAGCATTGTCGAATGCAATTGCCATGAATTACGCTATATAAAGTGAATTATTACACTGGTCTTCATCCAAAATGCTTCCGAAATAAATGCAGTCCAACTTTACAAATTCTGAGTCATTGAGAATGGAAATGATGCTTAAAATTGTTGATTGGTTCTCGTTTACAAGATATGCTACTGGGTCAGTATATACAACCCTTGACTTGGGAATGGTGGAGGGTAAGTGAGTCATAAAGGGAAGGGATCTCAATTTAAAACAGAAATAACTAAAATACATTTTGATTGCATCTATGAATAAATGTATGACTGGGTTTGGACAGTACTTGCTTTTTGAGCAAACCAATGAATGATGCAATCTGAACATGGTATTGTGTCATACATGATATGAATTGCATCATGTTATTCCTAGAAGTCATGGCTTATGCAATCATAACTAGGCTTACATCCATCTGTTGAACAAATTTCCCTATATCAGCTCTCGAAATCATGCAGTATCGTGCTCTCTTATTTGTCAGTGTTTAGTTTTGCAACGTGACACATTTCTGTTTAGCAAAAGTGAGCAGAGATGCCTCGTACTTGTGTGTGAACAAAGCAGATAACTTCTGCTATGTTTGTGGTGAAGTGACTTTTGTATCACAAAAGCGCAGCATAACCACTATGGTTAAGCCTATCACTTTTATTTTGGCTGCAAAATTGGAGATCAGGACAAGATGTCGGCCCCACACATATGCTGCAACACTTGTGCAACAAATCTTCACCAGTGGTTGAACAGGAAAAGGAAATATATGCATTTTGCAGTGCTAATGATTTGGAGAGAGCAAACAAATCATATCAGCAATTGTTACTTCTCCATGGCGCCTCCAGTTGGGAAAGGTGTGTCAAAGAAGAAAAAGTGGACTATGCATTATCAGAATATTCTGTCAGCTATATGCCCAGTACCGGACGGGGAATAACTGCCAGTTCCTGATGCACCAGAATAATTCTCACTTGAGTCAAACGAGGAAGAGTATGAAACTTCTGGTCCTGAACCATCAAGGTCACATGACCCAGATTTTCTCCCATCCTCCTCCTCTGAATCACACCTCATAACACAAGGTGAATTTAAAGACCTTGTCAGGGATTTGGAACTACCCAAGAGTAAGGCAGAGCTGTTGGGCTCCAGACTGCAGCAGTGAAATCTCCTGGCAGGTGATGTTAGGGTTTCCATGTATCGTGACCTTCAAAAGGATCTTGTCCGATTCTTCTTCATAGAAGGTGATTTTGTAGCCTGCAACAACATCGATGGTGTGATGGCAGCCCTCAACATAGTGAATGATCCATATGAGTGGAGACTGTTCAATGATTAATCGAAGATGAGTCTTAAAGCTATTTTTACGTATAATGGAATTTTTTGCCATCAATTCTCGTTGGTCATGCAGTCCAAATGAAAGAAACCTATGACAACATGAAACAACTTTTGAGGTGCATAAACTATGACTAACATCAGTGGCAGCTTTGTGGCGATTTTAAGGCTTGCAGAAGGGATACACAAAGTACTTCTGCTTTCTCTGCGAATGAGATAGTCGTGTGAGAGATTCCCACTACATTAAGATAGATTGACCACTTCGACAGTCATTGGAGCCTGGGAGGAAACGTGTTCAGCATCCTCCACTTGTTGAATCAAGGAAGATTTTGTTACCACCCTCACACATCAAGCTGGGTCTGATAAAGAACTTTGTCAAAGCCATGGACAAAATACGAGCAGCTTTCAAGTTCCTCCGTGGAAAATGTCCAAGGTTAAGTGATGCTAAGATAAAGGAAGGTGTCTTTGTTGGTCCTCATATTCGTGAACTTCTTCGAGATGATGCATTTGACATTGCACTGTGTGGCAAGGAAAAGATGGCATGGAAAGCCTTCCAGTTAGTAGCAATACATTTTCTCGGAAACAACAAGGTAGACAACTACGGGGAGTTGGTTGAAAACCTCAAGATGTAAAAAGAGCTTTGGTTGTAACACGTCACTAAAGATACATTTTTTGCACTCTCATCTAGATTCTTCCCCACCGAACTGCGGAGCAGTAATCGATGAGCTTGGCGAGAGATTTCACTAGGACATTGCAACAATGGAGAAACGCTATCAGGACAAATGGAGCCCATCAATGCTTGCAAACTATTGCTGGACAGTTACATTTATTTTGTTACATAAAATGTACAAAAATAATTGTGTATATATGTAACCCTTTGGCTGATTTTTAAAGTGTTACATGAACAGGACAGGTGACATGTTATCATGTAAAGCAACCATAAACACATGAACAACTCTACTATCGACACAATATACACAGACGTAAAATGTAAAAACTTAAATATCTTGGGAACAGTAGCCAATCAGTTGTTTGAATTGTCATATTTGAATTCAGCACATCAAAATCCGTAATAAACAGCACATTTCATCTCTGAAGCAGACATCTAAAAAATTGTAGACCACTGTCATTAACATGCCAATGGATTAACATTTTGCTGTATTTGAAGTAAACGTTCACACACTGGACTCGCAATCCAGGGGTACTGATTTCATCTCTCCCTGCGCCAGATGCAACAATGAAAGTGTGGGTACGCCCACGTCTTCCAAGACCTCTGACCAGAGTGGAAGAGTGGCTTTGAGGCTGCTGTGGAGATATCCGTGTTCCAAAGGCAGTGGGACGTCTTCTACATACGATGACCACTGGTGACATCCCACAAACTGGTGTTATACAGTGAGGGAAAAAAGTAATTTATCCCCTGCTGAATTTTTAACGTTTGCCCACTGACAAATAAATGATCAGTCTATAATTTTAATGGTAGGTTTATTTGAACAGTGACAGACAAATTAACAACAAAAAATCCAGAAAAACTGATGTCAAAAATGTTATAAATTATACTCTTTGGTTTTTTCGGTAAAGTCACGTAGGTAAAATAAAATAAATGAAAACAACTAAATTAAATCACGACGTTTCGGAGGCAACATAAGCTTCCGTCTTCAGGTGGAATAGTCACAGCAAAATAGCTGTATCAAGGTATACATTGATTTGCATTTTAATGAGGGAAATAAGTCTTTGACCCCTCTGCAAAACATGACTTAGTACTTGGTGGCAAAACCCTTGTTAGCAATCACAGAAGTCAGACGTTTCTTGTAGTTGGCCACCAGATTTGCACACATCTCAGGAGGGATTTTGTCCCACTCCTGTTTGCAGATCTTCTCCAAGTCATTAAGGTTTCGAGGCTGACGTTTGGCAACTCGAACCTTCAGCTCCCTCCACAGATTTTCTATGGGATTAAGGTCTGGAGACTGGCTAGGCCACTCCAGGACCTTAATGTGCTTCTTCTTGAGCCACTCCTTTGTTGCCTTGGCCGTGTGTTTGGGTCATTGTCATGCTGGAATACCCATCCACGACCCATTTTCAATGCCCTGGCGGAGGGAAGGAGGTTCTCACCCAAGATTTGACGGTACATGGCCCCGTTCTTCGTCCCTTTGATGCGGTGAAGTTGTCCTGTCCCCTTAGCAGAAAAACACCCCCAAAGCATAATGTTTCCACCTCCATGTTTGACGGTGGGGATGGTGTTCTTGGGGTCA